GAAGGAAAAAAAATCTTCTGTGAACATGAAAAGCGTGTCTTTAAACTTGCTTATTCTTTATGCAAACATATATGTTATGAATGCTACTGTAGCATTTAATTGACTCTATAATCAACCAGGTCAGCCATTGAGCACTTCGAAAAGCTTAGACAAAAGCCTTCAGTCTCCAGCCGCTGAGACAGTGATTTTTACATTTGGCTACGGGGGAGTCACGAAGGGTTTGATGAAAGCTATAATCGAGTCTCCAAGAAAATGCATATATACACAAAATGTCGCCCACGATTCCTGAAGGTTCATGAACTTTGTGTACGGAGCCCTCTGTTAAAAACAGCTTCTCAAGAAATCTACTTTCCTAACTTCCTGTTACAAAATGAAACACATGTGCCACGTTCGGGGTCCAAAATCCACCCCAACCACCCAGCTCCAACTAGAGCATCCCTCTGGCTGTTAGGGCCGCGCGGGGGCGTCTGCAGTTTACTGAGGTCCCGAGATGAAGCATAGTATGTGATACTAGGAGTATACCCCTCGTCCCTCGGAGAAAACGAACACTTACGATACATTTTCATGGCTGTAACCGATTTTGGCGTTGTAGGCTCCGTTATCCAGCACTAAGGTCGTCATTTTAGCAAGAAACACAGCCTTGGCTTTCTCTTCTCGACCCTTCTGCTCAGTTTTTCCGCACTCTATGGTTTGCTTGGGCGGAGCTTAAGGTCGCGCTTCCGGTATCCCTTAGCAACGAAGGAAGCCGGAAGCCAGGAACCGCACAGCCTCCGGGCTTGTCAGCAAGACTTGATGTGCTTCCAAGCCAAAGCCTTTTTCGTTGTGGCGAGATCCAAGAATGGAAGTGCATTTTGACCTACTGTGTATTTGTCCTTTACTTCACAGATTGACTCGCTCCTGCAATTTTTTTCTAACCCCCGGAGCGAACATGGGGTGTGTATGTATGCTCGAATAGTATAGTTCAGTGACATTTCTGGAGAATAAAGTGCAAGATCATACGCAGCATGGAATTGAATATGCGGTTTCTTCAGCCTCATTCCTCATCATTGTCCGTCCTACTGTAGGATCCAACCACCCTGAATTACAAATATGCTGTCGCGTCGATCGCCTTCCCCCGCCCCCACATTCATTCCGTCTACTTGTTTTTCAGGACAGAGCTCTGGATATTTTCTATCTAGAAAGGCTTCTAGACATTTGACTCACTTCCTCTCCCCCTTCCTAAAATTAGGCGCTCCTCCTATGTGTTCCTGTAATGCTCAGGAACTCCTATACATCCTATAATAACTCCTATACATCATAATGGTTAAGAGAACGAATTTCGGATTGGAATCCGGACTCCGCCACAAAATGGCTGTGTCACTTCGAACGATGAAGATGATAATGATTAGTACTAACAGCGCTTAATACGTATGGGTAAAAGGATGTAAGAGCTTTACATATGTTGACTAATTTAATCTTTACAATTTATTAAATAGGTACAATTATTGTCTCTGAATTCAAATTCCTACCTCAGATCCTGGCTCTGCCACTAGATGGCTGGGACAGGTTAGTTAACCTCTCTACGCCTTAGTTTCCTCATCTGTATAATGGAATAATATTAATGACACACCCTTGCAGAATTGTTTTTAAGAGTAAACTATATGTCAAGTACCTGGTAGTTGTCACCATCATCATCATCATCATCCTTTTAATGTACGATCATTCAATGTTAACTCGCATAAATGGCAAACTTCTTGAATCGGGCACTCTGTTCTATTGGTGTCTATATCCCTTTGTATCGAAAAAGTAATTGAGTGTTCAAAATTATGTCCAATTTTAGTCTCTCTATTTTCTCTAATTTAATATTAAATCAATGATCCTGTACTACAAACATGTAAAGAATGTTTTATAAATCTTACATCATAGAGCAGCCACGGTTTCTATACATCTCTTAACTTTTAAAACATGTTCTTTCAATCCTGTCTCTGCCCTTTCACATTTAAGTTTTCACAATTAAGTTTCTCTTTTTGCTTTCTTAATCAGGATCATTTTTGTTCTTCGCTTCAGCTATCATTAAACACTGATAAACCCTAAAGCAGAATTTCCACACCCACTGTAACCTGAATGTTTCTACTCAGATAACTTAAGATAATCTTAGAGGCAACAAATCCAAAACTGAATCTCATCCCCATATTGTAATTCCACCTATATTACTTATCTCAGTTAGTGGCATGCTCCAAGATCTGCCCACTGCTCCAAGCTAGAAAACTCCACTCCCTTCAACTCAATCCTTGACTTAATCCGGAATCTGTCCTTGACCTTCTTTCATCTCCACTGCTACAGCCTTATCTCTCACCTGAAATAATGCCACCGACTTCACGACACCCTTCCTGCTTCTACTCTCTTCTCATTATGATCCATCCTCTGTACCGCCAGCATAATTATCAGTAAATATTTTTCTAAATCAGAAATCTGATCATCATCCTCCGATTCACTCACCATAGAAGTCTTCCATGGTTTGATATTGCCAATGAAATAATGTGTGTATATTTGCAGTCCCATCCCCCTTCAACACATTTACAGTGTGTTTTGGTAAACAACCAGATCTCCAGGAAATAAAAACCTGATTTATAGTGTTTACCACTGTCTGTGGTATATAAACACTGTCACAATGGCTGATTTCAAGCTATATTGAAGTCACCAAACACAGAACACAAAGTTAGAAAGAGACACACACAACTGGTTCTCATGAGCCAGTATAAGCCAGCTTCAGTAAAAGCTCTGACTCTATTCACTTCCCCTTCTCAAGTTTTAGCACAAATAATCTCAAGCAGTTAAGTACTACTTTTCAAATGTATATTTTGGTAATGTATAATTTTAAAGTGGTTAAAAACATGACTCTGCTATAAATACATAATGAACATGTGCAACATATTTAAGCAAGCTATATTAATGAGTAAATAGTTTTATACCTATCTTGTTTGTTCTTACATTAATGAGTTAATAAACCTTTGATGCATGTTCATTATATATTTGAACAAAAGTCATGTTTTTAACTTTTTGAAAATTTGACAAAAATAGCAATTAAAATGTAAATGAATTTAAAATGCTGAATTTATGGTGATTTTGTGGTATTTTGTCCTCTCAATCCAGGAATAGTAAAATTAAAATTATTACTATATATTTTTTCAATAAAAAGCTGCTATAACTACAATTATTAACCTGTGGGATTTGTTGATATTTATTACTTTGAAAAGAAATCCTCATTCTGTTCTGATGACATTAGGCCACTTGTCATTTAGAAGCCATGAACTTTGACACTTCTGTCCTTTTTCATAATTGTGTTTCATCTGTCTGAAACATCCTTTTCTGCCTAGTGAATTAATAATAACAGCTACAACTCTATTGTATCTGGAACTCTCTAAATACTTTACCTTCATTAGCTTGGTTAATCTTCACAACAACCTCATGAAGGTAAATAGCACCACGAGGCTCAAGAAGTGCTTACCTTTGATCTCATAGGAAAAAAATGACATGCTTGCCTATGATCACACACCTAAAAATCTACAGGGCTAGGTTTCAAATCCAGGTCTTTGATTCCAGGGCCAGTTCTTTTAACACTTTAAGCTGACAGTCTTGTCTTTGAAAGAATATCTCCACTGTAAAGGTGTCTCTGACTTAATCAGATAGAATGAATCACTCCTTACTCTGTGTTCTCATAGCGCTTTGTTTTCAATTATGCTAATGATAATAGCATTTCTTGAAAGACTGACATATGTTAGGCACTCATTTTATATGCATAATCTCATTTAATCATCACAAAATTTAGAGTTAGATACCATTACTCCAGTAGTCATATGTGGTGAGGCTGAGATTAAATAACTTGCCCAAGTTTACACAGCTACAAAGTGGCTGAGTGAGCATTTGAACCAGTGTCTAATGACAGAGCTCCAAGTCTTAGCGCTAGCAATTTACCTTTCACACTAGGCTGTTCACTCTTTGATGGCAGGAACATGTTTGTTTTGGTTTGGGCAACCCTAGCTATTTGAATACTGCCTGGTTTACAGTACATGATAAATGTTAAGTGAGTAAATAGCCAACCATATTCATCTCCTCTTCTTCAAAAAGGACCAGGTCATTGAACTGTGTGTAAACTATCCCTTCTCCCCCAGACATATCCACACATCTTCCTGATGCATCTCTCACAGGTAACGTAATTTCTTTTCCACTTTTAGACATCTCTGAAAAATGTTGGTTTGGGGCTAAGTGGGGTGCAGGCGCAGAGCTGTAATAGTTCTCCCTGATATTTCAACAATTTCCTTCCTTTTTATAGAAATTTTCAAATGAAATTTTACATCCTTATTTCTTTAGCTACAACCTAGTGAGATGGGTATGGTTGGTATTATTAACTATTTTATAGATGATTAAACTGAGTGTAAAAGAAAGGAAATTATTTTCTCCAGGTTAACACAGCTAGAAAATACTTAGAGCCCTGACTTGAATTTAGGCCTTCTAATCCCCAGGTCCTGTGCTCTATCGGGGTACGTTGTTAACTTTTATTTCCCTTAGGATTGAAATCACCAGAGGAAACACTATATAGCATTTAGCCTGGGGAAAGCAGACTATCTTAGCAAAGGAGAAGAAACCGAAGCAAGAATACGAATAAAGCTGGGTAGGTAAAGAGAGCAAAGCAAGCAGAGAATTTTGTGGAGCAAATTCTGAGGAAATAAAAAAGTAGGATGTGGAAGGAGACTCAGTGATGGAGACAGGAACCATATCAGAGGTGGGGAGGGAGAACTAAAGCCCAAGAAGGTTTGGGACTGGGTGTCTAAGCTCCCAATAGCGTTAGCGCAGCGCCGGACACGACCCGAGTTCATGACAAGCGTGGCGAGACAGCCTACCTTCCGCGTCCGCGGTGGGTGGGGCGCTGGGTTGCCACGCCCCGTCCAGCGCTCGCCCCGCCTCGAACACGCCCCCAGCACGCCCCACCCTCATACGGCCCCGCCCCGAACCCCTATCGCCCCCGCCCTCCCACAGGTCTCTTAGGTGATGCTGCAGCCAAGATGGCGCTGGCGGCGGCTTTGGTGGCCTGAACGAGATGCTCCGGGTCCTCGGCAGCAGCGGCGGCGGCGGCTGTGGCCTCGGCCAGGGCCTCAGGACTGTCCCCGGCGTGAGTGCCCAGGAGCCTCTCCTCCGGCCGGGTTAACCCGGACAAAGAGGAGACGGCCACAGAGGGAGGAGACAGTGAGGAAAGGAAAGCGCGCAGCACCTCCCGCCCTGGCACCATGGCTGGGCTCATCAAAAAACAGATCCTGAAACACCTTTCCAGGTCAGTGAGAGCCTCGGGCGTAGGGACTAGTCCACCTCCTCCCTAGCCGGCACTGGCTTCGGGGACGCCGGAGACTGGCAGCTGTGTGGGAGGCGACCCTTGGACTCCCCGCTCCAGTAGGGGTAGGGGTCGCGGCCCCGGATCTTGCGGCGCCTGTGTTGGCCTCACGAGTCAGCCCCTGGCCGGTTCTTCCCTGGACTGATTGTCCCCCGGCCTGCTCGTGGAGGAGCGTGGAGGGAGGCCAGGGGAGGCGGCGCACTGGGGTCGCCCCCAACGCAGAGTTTGGGGGCGTCCCGGGCACCCCCTCTTGGGCGGTCCTGCGTGGGGACCGGAGATGGCCTGTTGTCACCCAGGTGCCTGAGTTACGTGGTGGGATGAACCGGAGCTCGGTACTCGCCTCCACTCGGAGTGGAGCGGTTCCGTTAACCGAGAGCGTCTGGCGCAGTGTGGACTCCTAGGGCTGAGGCTTGTCTCCTTAGTGAAATGTTGTTAATTAACCTTGTTATTGTTCTGAATTCACCCCACCTCGCCGTTCCTGCTCCGATGCGTTCGAGGGTGTGCCTGTTTGCACAGTTAGGATTTGTCTTAGGTAAATAACCAGAGTTCCCAGCTTTGGCAAGTTCTTTCTGGAGTCGTTTTAGTCCCACGTCATTCTTACAAAACAGTTTTTTTTTTTTTTTTTAAAATCCAAGACCCATAAATTCAGGGAATCAACATCTTTGGTGATAATCCGAAGACTTGTCATTCTTTCCATTTCATAATGCGGTTTTAGTCAGAAACATGACTCAGTAAAGCTGGCAGTTCGTTGCTCCTGGCTTCTCCATATTTGTCTCAGGACACAGGCTAAATGTAGGATTTTGTTTCCAAGTTGTTAACACTAAATCCAAAATGCTTGGTTATGACTTTTTTTCTCTGTTATTTGTAAGTTAATGATTACTTTTAACTTATTTTAGGAAAAGACTTGGTTATAATGATATATTTATATAATAAAGACAATTGAATCTACAGATCATTGTATACCACAGGTTATATAGCGGGGAACAAAATCAATATTTCTGTGATTCAGCGAGTTTTTTCTCACTTATAACACTGAATAAGATATGACAGATTTTTATTTTATTTTTATTTTATTTTATTATTATTATTTTTTTAGGCGAGGCAACCCTTGGTTGACCTCACAGATTGCAAGGACCTTGTCAGTTTACAATTCCTTACTTTATTTTATTTTATTTTTTAATTTTTTAGGTGTACAGCACCTGGTGGTCGCACATCCAAGTACTAACCAGGCTCGACTTTGCTTAGTTTCAGAAATCAGACGGGATGGGGCTTGTTCAGGGTAGCATGACTGTAGACTGACAGTTTTTTTTTTTTAAAGCAAATTAAGTGGCATTTATGAATATATATTTCTTAATATCATTACTAATTGGAAAGTTTCTCTTAAAATCGTACATATGGTCCATATGAATAACTTGGAAGGTTTTATTTATAATTTATTTGTAAGGTCTGACTTATTAGATGTTCTCCAGCCTTTCTCATACTGAGTTCCACAAGAATATTCAGACCTACAGAAAATGATTTGACTGTCTATTTTGTCACTCTCCCAAGGACATTGGTACATAGCTAGCTCCATTCTAGATGCAAAGGGAGGAAAGTTAATCAGTGAGTGTCTTAGGGCATTAGAGTTTAATCTCTTGTAGAGCAGTTGAGAAGGTCTCAAAAATTAATAGCCTGGGTAAAGGCGTACTTCACAAAATAGACAACACCTACATATTCAGAATTCAGTCCTTAGGATTACTTTTTAGTCTGTATTATTTCCAGTCTCTATGTTGTAAATAGTAATGAAGTTTTATTTTTTTAGAGATAAGTTTTTGAAACACTTGAGTTTGTAGTTATTTCATATTTCAAAACTTAACTGAAGTGACTGAAGAGTATCAAATTTATGTTTTTGGTTAATATCTTAATCTTTCTGCTATTGCTGTCATCTTTATGGTGTTATATATAAATCTAAAGGATGACAGTAGATGAAACAAAGTGGGTGTTGTGATAAATAATAGTTATTCAAGTAGGGATGAACTTTTGAAATTATATGGAATAAGCTTAATTTTACAGATTTTTCCAGTGATAAAGATGTCTGGTTATATTGCTATAATCATCTGGAATGCAGTTTAATACAATTTAACAGGAAATACTTAGAACACATTACTTTCCAATAATAGACATTTCATATAGCCAGAAGATGAAACCATGGCACCTTCTCAAAGGAGGCCTTACCTGACTGATCACACTTTTCTCGTACCATTTATCCTCATCTGATATATATATATATATTTATTTGCTGTTTGTCTCTCTTCTCCACTTGATGTAGACTCCATGATGGCAGGGATTTTTGTTTTGAGTCTAGCATAATGTGCACTCTCAACTATTTTTTGGAATGAATAGATGAATGGCGCCAATCAACTGACTCTTCCTCACATTGCTATTTTTTTTAACTGAGGCAAGACTGTATGCCACCAATATTATCACATTTTACCTGTGGTGTTAGGAAGCAATAGGCAATTGAATCACTGGCGTCTTGGAAAAGGAAGGACTAGAAAAGTGACTGTTTATATAGAGGATCTTCCGTAAGGAAGGCTATCTAGGAAACAACAGAAGGAAGAAAATGCTTACTCTGAGCCTTGTGATTGAAATATGGTAAAATTGTAAGATTAAAGCCAGTGTTACCCGAATATAGATGTTTGAGAAACTCGTATACTGGAAAAGTATGAAAGAGGAATTGTTCTTAAGAGATTACCAAATGCTTTGAATAAATGCTGAACTATCTTTGAGACCTGTAAATCTATATACTGTTCTCTGCCTAATTGTTGTTTAGTTTGTTTTCCAAGCAACTCTCATATTGTTAATAAACTTAGTTCCTATATTTGGAACTGATCTGAAACTGACTGGGAGTGAGTGAGTGAGAGCTTATGTGTGTGTACATCTCTGTAGTGGTGCAGTGGGGGTTGGAGTTGTTATATTTTAAGATGTGAAACAGGAAAGGAAGTTTTTGAAAGAGAAATTACCCTGATCTTTCATATTGTAACTGGCATAGAATATGCTTTGGAGGCTTTCCTAGGAGAGTGTTTTTTCACATGGGAATGGAAAATTCTAAAGAAAAGTTATAACAAATATAAGAAAGAAAGTAAGAGCAGGAGCTCCCTTTAAGCTCAAGGGCTCAAGGCCTTTCTGGGTGTGTGTACGTTTGTGGTCAAGCCAAGGCAAAGAGGGGAAAAATAGAAGCTGGAAGATGGGAGTATAGTTAAGCCAGGACCTGAAAAGAGGCAGGGAAGATACAAATGCTCCCTTTTCCCCTCCCCCCTTCCTCTTTGGCTCAAGGCATTCTGTAATGGCACAAGGATTACTGGGGAAATGGGAGTCCGCAAAACAGACAGACACCACACCTGAATGGAGTCTTCATACAGTTTAGAGCAGTGTTTGTTTCTCAACCAGGGGTGATTTTGCCCCTCCAGGGACATTTGGCAATGTCTGGAGACATTTCTAATTGTCACAACTTAGGAGTTGGGGGTGGAGTAAGGCTACCGGCATCTAGTGGGTAGATGCCAGGGATGTTGCTAAACATCCTACAATGCACAGCACAGTCTCCCACAACAAAATATCATTTGGTCAAAATGTCAATAATTTTGAGATTGAGAAACTGGTTTAAAGTGTAAACATGTGTCAGGTGATTGAACTAGGGTCACTGTGCTAGTTAAATTTATTTTGTCTGCAAACAACAAAAACTTGCTCTGTTGAACTTAGGTAAAAAGGTAAATGTAACAGAAAGCTATTGGGGTGGGTCACAGAATCCAGGGAAGGGCAGGACTGGCCAGTTCCTAAAACCTCATTGGAAGAGTTCTTGGACCGCCGCACTATTGACACTTTGGACAAGATAATTCTTTGTTGTGAAAGGCTGCTCTGTACATTGTAGGATGTTTAGCAACATCTCTAATCTCCACCCACTAGATGCCAACATCACTCCCACAGTCTTGACAATGAAAAATGTCTCCAGACCTTGCTAAATGTCCCCTGAGGGGGAAATTGCTCTTGGTTGAGGACCACTGCTTTAGGGTGCTGTCCCATCTCTCACAACTTCCAAGCTGTGATCTTTCTTGTCCAGTTTCAAATTCCTGGGAGAGAGATTCTGTGTGGCCCAGTTCTGTTTATTCGTGGATCAGTTAGCAATGGCAAAGGGATTATACATACATCAAAATATGGTTATTGGGAGAACTAGTACTTTTGAGTCAGGCTTGTTGCTCCATTTGGTGTCTTTAATAGGCACTGAACTACATTTAGAGGCCCTCATTAGCTATGTTAAGGAAATTGAACTTTATCCCAGGAGGTGACTGCTAATAAAGAATTCTATACAAAAGAACATGATTATTAGAGTTGCCTGGTTATCAGTTTGGTTTTTGAAGTCCAGGGTTCAGGAGCGATTGTCTGGGGTGGAAGTTTACTGCAGAGGGGATCCAATGAACTTACTGGATACTGTATTGGAAGGATATCAGTATCCCACAGAATTTATGGGAAGGTTAAAAGACCCAGACTTGGAAGGGGACTGGATCCAGGCAAACTCTAAGGATCTAGGTAGGAGAACTATTTGACATTCTCAACAAGACATGTTCCTTAACTAAGGGGAAGGAACAAATAGAAAGAGAGGGTGGTCTGAGAAGATTGCTGAATATTTGGAATACTTGTTAAGGATATTAGGAAGGATTGAACACTTGCAGGATCTTGTGGCTAAATCGCAAAGTGATGGGAGAGTTTAAATTGCATCACAATATATTGATGGGATGGTTTAGGTTGCATAAGGAAGGAAGGAGAAGGGCAGCAGCTAATAGCCTGGGGAGGAAAAGAAAGAACCATCATAGGATTGGAAATTTTATCTAGGTAGAAGAGCAGCTGAGAAAAACAAATGAGAGGATTGGAAGCATTAGAGGTTTTGTCTGAAAGTGTCATGTTAAAGTTAAGATTTTAGAGGTGGAGTAGGCCTAGTTTAGGACAAGATGTCAGATAAGGCCATGGAAGTGAATTGCTGAAGAAGTTAAGGTGTGTGTAGAGATAAATACTACTAGGTCTATAATCATTCCTGTACTGGACATTCTTAAAAGGAACTACAACATCGATTAGACTGTCAAATTCTTTTCTCAAATGATAATATTATAAAATGATAGGCTAATTATGTACATCTTTCATTTTCATGGTAAAGCTCAATAAATAATTTTTGACAGTTTATGTATACCAGGTCTTGAGCACTTGGCATCAGAGGTACAAAGATGGGTAAATTATGGTCTCAGCTCTTGGGAAACTTCAGTGATTCCCATTCTGGAAAAAGAAGCATGAGTAGGATTAATGTAATCTATTTCTAGAACCATACTGCCATTGAAATTTGTGAGATTTGTTTTACTTGGATTAGGCAACTGGGAAAAGATTGAGTTAAATGTTACCTTTTAGGATTATAAATAAATTTATTATTATAAATTTGGAGATTTTTTAAAAGTAAGTTTTAGTTACTTACATTGACAGTATTATCTTAAAAATAATCTCCAATAATTTTGATTTCGACATTCAATATACTAGTTGTTTATTTAACAAATACTTACCGAATACTACTTTGTATCAGGTACTAGTCCATAGTGCTGGGGTAAAAATCTCTACCCTCAATGGAGTTTGCATTTTAATCAGAGGAGGGTGATAGTAAATAAATACATAAATGAAATACATTGTATCAGTTTGTGGTACATGCTACTGAAAAAAATAACAAGGAGAGGGGATAGGAAGTGCAAGGAGATAGCAATGGGGTTTGTAATTTTAAATCTATTGATTCTAGAAGGCTTAATTGGGAAGGTGATATTTCAGAATAGATCTAAAAGAGGTGGTGGAAGCAGATGCAAAGATCCAGAAGTGGAAGCCTGTTATTTTTGAAATATATCCAGGCCATCAATATAGGTGAAGTGGAATGAGGAGTGGAGTAGAGGATGATGAGATCAAAGGCCAGATTTTATGGGGCCTTGTAATGACTTGGCTTTTATCCGAATGAGATCGGAAGCCACTGGAAGGCTTAGAGCCAAGAGTCACTCTGCAGCCATGTAGGAAATAAATAATAGGAGAGCGAGCACAGAAACAGAAGCCCAATTAAAAGTGTTAATTATCCAGATGGGAAAGATACTGGCTTGGACCTAGGTGGATGCAGTGGAGTTGTTGAGATGTCAGATTTTAGATGTATTTTAAAGGTAGAGCCAGAGGATTTGCTGACCGATTAAATGTGATTGAGTGAGAAAGAGCAGTGATGGATGACTCCATAGTTTTGACATAAGCAGCTGGCAAGGTGGAGTTGCTGTTCACTAAGTTGGAGAAGACTGCTGGTGGGGCAGGCTTGTGGAAGATTAGGGGTTTGATTTTGGGTACATTAATTTGGATGCCTGTTAGGTATCTATGGAGATCTTTTTTATTTGTGAACTTATTTAGACTACATATTTTAGTCTGGCAATAATGTCAATGTTTTCTGTGTATTTATCCTTCGATTTATACAATACATAATTACAGCAGAATGAATTGTGACTTGAATTTTAGGGGGTGTTTCTTGTTTTGTTTTGTTTTGTTTTGTTTGTATGAAGTGCACTATGTAGAGCCTCTGAAATCAAGTAGGTGACCATTTTTTTCACATTAATTTCCAAATATACCCTGTATTGATTTTTGCAGAAAAGTTATTTCAGGAGACTGATTTGAAAATTTTAGGTGAAAAGGGAGTTGGATGCTTGTTCCATTGGCTGTTGTAATATCACCTTCTTAGAATCAGAAGGGATTTGTTCCTGTCTATGAGAAGGAAATTATTAATACAGAGATTTGTCACTTGCCCAGGGTCAAGGTTTGACAGGTAGTGTTTAGTGATTAAGTCACTGATCCAGCACCCTTTTAATTTGATTTTTCTATTGCCTACTCAGGCTATTGTTCCCATCTAGTGGCTTGACTTTCTTCTATTCAATTTTCAGCATTTCTCTTATTACTCTTATAGTATTTCATCATCCTGCTGCAGTATCCCTCAGGAGATTCTTTTATTACTCAAGAATCCCTTGATTCAGCAGTTCTTTGAAGTTGTGGAAGCATAATTTCTCCATTTGTTTTTACTTGCATGTTTTTTTTTTTGCAATATTACTTTTTGCAATATTACACTTTGCCTTAATCCTACAGGTTCCAGTCTAAATATTTCCCTAATAAGTTGACCTCTTATTACTTATACATGTTTTAAATTTTGCATGTTATATTACTTAGGATGAGTAATTTTATGTATCTATTAAATATTGGTATTTCATCAATTGGTATTAATGGCTGGAGCTCAGATTGAATGTAAGTTACAAGTAGAAGTCTTAATGACTATTTCCATGAGTGAAATATGAACAGTTATCATATCAAGACAAAGTTATTAAAGCAAAATTGAGAGTGAAGCAAATATGATTTAGGATATAGTAATTGTTTGATTTTACAGCGATTAGACTTACTGTTGGTCTGTCTGATAATTCACCGACTTATTTTGAAACTTCTCCTAGACAAAATTCATGTTGTATATAAATTTTGAATCTCTATATTAGTCTATTCTTTAAGTCTTAATTTTAGTTATATGTACATATACTTTTTTCTACCCCAAAATACCATTAGGAGAGGGATCTCTGGCTTCTTTTTGCCACTGCTAGCATAGCATCAAGTTTTGGTTTCATTTTCTGTTGTCCGTTTTTAAACCTTTTATAACTTGATGATTAAGAATTAATATTTAGTAATAGTGGAAAATTCAGAGATTTTAAAATTTGATAAAACTATGTTTTTAGGTATTAAATTGAGTTTCTGTTCCAAATTTTTCTTCTGCCGTGATGCTTTATCTATAAATGAAATGTACTATAAAAAGAGGCATCAAGAGGCATCCGTAATATGTAACATTTATCTATTTGCAACTTTAACAGAAGTAGAGTCAATGAGACAGAAGTAGTCTAAGTCTCAGAGAAACTCGTATAGAAATAATGAATTAAAAGCACACAAACGACAGCTTAGTGATATAAAATAGATAGTTATTAAATCTCTTTTGACTACAGCATGCATACCAAAGGAATATTTAAGGCAAGTATTTAGAGAAGTTAAGGGTAACTTAGGTCCTTCAAATTTGGCTGCAATTTTATTTTTCACTATTTTCCAGTACTACACTTCTCCTTTTTGTTTTTTTTACCCATTTCTTTTTTTTTTTTTTTTCCAGCCATCTGCATCTCTTCATGACAGGGCATTCTCTCAGGCTTCATTTTACTTGTACATCTTCCATGGGCAACTTTAGGCTAGTCTTCATTGGTTGTCTTTATTTTGAACTTCTTTAAGTCTTAAAATATATTGTTTGTTTTATTAAAACAAAAGCTTCATGTTTATTCTGTAGATTGTCTTTAAAGGCAAATTCACCCTGATAGGCTTTGAATTTTGAGGACGGTGACTGTGCTTGTCTAGTTTGCCATTGTATCTTTAGCATCTGCCACAGTACTGTGGTACATAGTAGTTGTTCAGAAACATTATTAGTTGACTATACTACATTAGCTTTCATAGAATAAGTAGGGCATAAATTGATTGCCCTGAATTCATTTTTGGCTGGTTTAAAAAGTTGACTTGTATCCAAAAAATTTAGATTAAATTTTTTTTTTTCCCCCCTGATAAATGTCATAGTTATCCAATTTACTTTTGAGTATACAGATATAGTTTATTGCTGATCTCTCTTCAGTTTGTGGGTTAGTTTTCATAGGAAACTTTAGCTTTCTCTTTGAAATGAAATGAGGATTATAGTTTTAACTGGGCCTTTTGGCAGTTAAATTGACAATTTGTGTTTGTAAATTGCTTGTCATTTAGAGTGCTTGTCCTAATTGGTTTTATTTAATGTTGAATTATACAGTTCAGTTTTTATAACTTTTGTACAATATAGCTATCTCATTTTTGTTAATTAGCATTTTAATATAAAATTTAAAAAATACATTTTAATAGAATAGTAGTAATTCCAGTGATAGAAGGAATGAGGAAATCATAAATGATTAATTTATCTTAGAATTTAAGCAGTATTTGCTTTTAGTTAATCCAGTGTGAAATACAACTGTATTTTTAAAAAGTGAATCACAGCTAAAAATTTTTATATCATTCCTTTCCTCTTCCTTCCCTTAAACTTGCTCCCTTCTGTGTCCCCTGTGTACCCCCATTCCCTGCAGCGATCCCTGCTGGCTGTGGTGGAGATTGGTGTGCTGTGAATTTCATAATCACCCAAATGAGTACCAGAGGAGTCTAAGAAACCCTGGCAACTGACTACTTGCTTTCACCAGGAATAGGGACCTTTTGTCTGAAATTTCCTGCCCTCAGGTAATACTTCTATTCCCCATCGTTTTGTTTTCTCTCTATAAATGCAAACACTTATTATGCCCCACATAAAGATACTTAGAGAATAATTGCTAATTCTTAGTGTTTTAGTCAAATACTGATTTCATTTTTTATTTTTTAACTATGTAGCTTATAGGCTCATGCAATTACTTAGACTATCTTTTCAAATATATAAGGTTTGGCAATGTACTTAAAACCAGCTCTTCCTGATGTTGCCAAGAGAGTTTTATAACTTAGAGTCAGCTATTCAGAATAGCAATTAGCATTTGATCTACTCTTTAATGGGTAAGATTTCATAGTCTAATATAACTAATGACTTATGAAGGCTCTTTTGATAAAGGATATTTTAATCGGTTTGTCACTGGACTTCAGAGTTTATTTTGTGTATTTAATGTTAATCATAATCTTTATCAAAGAGATCGAAATAACTCATGAACAGCACTGAAAAGAGAATTCATTTTTGAAGACTATAAGGGCTCCCCACACCATTCTTCTCCTCTCTCCTGCCCCTTTTTAAAATTCATTATCAGAGAAAGCAATTATAAAATCAGATTCTTGTGGAAATGACACTGAATTTTTTTCAATTTAGGACTCAATGAAAAACCTAGAAACTCATGTCACTGAACATTTCTCATGCTTGGAAAATATATCCACATAAATACTTTGAACCTTTTCTAAAAGTCTAGTAAGACAGACATGAGCAGAATTGTACAACTCATTACATACATACCCGAGGAGTAATGGGGCAGTTGATAAACTTGTTGGCCATATGTTAGCTAGCAGTTTTATAGATATGATGATGTATTGTTTTTCTCGTCTGCCTTGATTCCATGCTGTCTTTTGGGTATCTGGATCTCTACCACATTACTAAGAGAAAGATGACAAGCTTTAACCTTAGGTACACTATTAGTGAAACCACTGAGGTTCTCTGTAGAATATTGAAAGTTAAGGACTTATGTTGTTTATAATGTCATTCAGGGATGGTTCTGATTTTGTATAAACCTCTAGCAAATCCTCTGGAACTTTTGCTCCTGAAGTATTGTCATAACTGTAGTCTTTTGCTTTTTTCCTAACTGTACCTCCTTAACATGTCTTTTTGGCCTGGTTCGTGCTTAGCGTATTGAAGATGAGGGGTTATCATTTTATTTTAAGTTTAAACCACAGCTATTCCTTCGTTTATTTAAGTCACCTACCAAGTTTAATTCCTTTTTCTTTACTTTTCATTTCAATCAATTATACTTCCTTTTTATTTAAATAACTCTTGAATTTATCTTCTTTCCCCTGAACCTAGCACATAGCAGACTGCTTGTCACAAAGTAATATTTGAATAATAAGATTTGAATATTTCTGTTTTCACTACCCAGATCTAACTCATAATTTTTTGTGTCAGTTGTAACTAAGTGTTCTCATTTCCTTCTGGTCTCATAGTCCTTTATTCCATCCTTGGCACTGTTACTAGAGAGAGCTTTCAAAAATGCTAATCATTTAATTCCTCAGTAGAAACCTTTTAATGGCTCATATTTAAGCTTTTTTCTTAAGTGTGTTTATAACAGTAGAATTTTTTTTTTTTTTGTCCACAGAAATAATAAATTGAACTTTATTGCATAGTATAGACAAAGTAGAGTTCCTCTACTTGAGTCAGTAATTAGGGGGCATCAGCTGTCATAGTCTTTCTTTTTTTATTTTTTCTCCCACCTGGGTTGAATTATAAGCAATCTTTTTTTTTTTTTTTTATTGGCACCATACTAATATGTAGGATGAAACCCACATTTCTTGACATGGGATAACAAGAGTCCTTCATAATTTGACTTCAGTTCATCTTTGAAGGCTTAGCATTCATTTCTTTCCAAACCATCTGTTGGCATTATACTTCATCTTTGCCTACTGTGTGTGATCTTGTAACCTTCAACATGCTGCTGCTCTGCTTGAAATGTCCTCCTCTGCTCTATTCACCTGGCAGAAACTTACTCTGAAAAGCAGCTCAAGTACTGCCTGCTTCTTGAAGCCTTCTCAAAGAAGTATTCTTTTTAATAGAATTGATCCCCTCTTCTTTTGTACCTCTATCTGATCGTATTCTCATTTTTATTGTAATATCTGTTACACAGTGCCTGGCACATATTAAGACCTTAATGTACTGTAATGATTTGTTTATGTGCTTGTCTCTAATGATAAACTGTGAGGTCTTTGAAAGCAGTTAAGTATGTCTTAATTATTTAAGTTACTCAAGAGCCTAATCAGAGCTCAGTTTTTGCCATGAGGGTATATGTATGTATAGTTGTGTCAGATCTTCTAATGTTTCAACAAAATTCAGAAACCTAGATTTCAATGTATGGTCTACAAATCCAGGTTTTTTAAAACACTGCAGGCCAGACAAAACATATCTGTGGTAAAACAGCTCACAGGCTACCAATTTGCCACCTGTTCCATTCTTTAAATGTTTTCGCAGAAAAACTGGTTAGACAAGATTGGTTGATTTTCTTTACATGCATATTGTAAAAATAACCAAGCCAAACAAACTCTGTAAATTGAGAATGCTCAAAAAAAAACCAAGATAATTCATTATGTGCATACCTTCTTTGAACTTTGTTCCATTAACACTCTAGGTTTCATTAAAAATAATAATAACATTTATGCCATAAATATTTAATAAGCCTCACAAATTGACACTAAGAGCTCCTTGAGGGTGAAAATTGCCATATACTCCTATGTTGCCTAGTAAATGTTCAGTAAATATTGTTGAATTGAAAATTGATAGGTATGGTAATAGAATGGTAATTGATCTTAAAATATCTTTTAAGTCAAATTGTACAAATTTGATTATAGTTTGGGGGTTCAGCCTTGGTGTGACCTCGAACAGTTGACCTAACCCCTCTGGGCTTCACATTCTCTACTATAAAATAAGGACTTTGGATTAGAGGAACTTTTTAGATGCTAAAATTCTGAAAGTATTTGGTATTCTTTACTAGTATGAGGGCTGCCTGTGGCTCAGTTTTTTTTTTTTTTTGGTAACTTGGCTTAAAATTGTTTCTAATATCTTTGGATGACAAATGTAATGGTATAGTTTTCAAAAATCCATGGTTCAGATACCTTAAAAAATCTTATTCCTGTGTATTTTATTGAGTTAACTAGTTTATTCTTTTTTATTGAGGTATATATACACCTACATATATAGGTGTGTATGTATGTATATATCAAGGTGTGTTCATGATAAATTACCCTTTTGAGGAGAGAATTCCCAATATACAGAGTTTGTTTAGCTTAATTATTTTTGGGATAAGCAAGTAAAGAAAATCAACTAAGCTTTGGTTGTTGGGAGCTCTTTATTTGGCTCCTGTGTTCCTTTTATCGATTTTATTTTTTATACTGGTCTTATATCCTGTAACCTGCTAAACTCATTTATTAGTTCTGGAAGCTTTTTCTTTTTCACTCTCTCTTTTTTTTTTTTTTTAAGATTCTGTAGGTCTTCTCCATAGATAGTTATATTGTTTGGGGAAAAAGACAGTTTTACTTCTTTTCCAAACTTTCTTTTATTTTTTTTTCTTGCCTTTTTGTGTTGGCTAGAACCTCTATACAATGTTACATAGAAGTGGTAAGAGCAGACATCCTTGCCTTGTCCTTGTCTTAGCGGAAAAGCAATTTAGTCTGTCATTGTTAAGTGTGATTTTAGCTGTAGGGTTTTCATAGATGGCCTTTATAGTTTTGGGGAAGTTCTCTTCTGTTCCTAATTTGAGAGTTATTTTTCCATGCATGTTGTTGATTTTTGTCAAATGCTTTTTTATGCCTCTATTGAGATCATCATGTGAGTTTACTTTTAATATGGTACATTACATTAGTTGATTTTTGAATGTTAAACCAGCCTTCATTCCTTGAATAAGTACTTGGTCATGATGTATTATACTTTTTATATATTGTTTATCGTAGTGGGTTATAGCTTGCCTTATGAAATTAGTATAGCAGGTTGCAGTCACCATTTTGAATGAAATAGACTAGAAAATATCAGACCGTATTAAACTATTGCTTCATGAAATTTTTTTTGTCTGTTGTGTGTGTACTAGATTGTAACATAAAGTATATTTCTTGACCTAACACATAAACATTTTTAAAAAATAACAACCTGAAGATAATAAGGCATAGAGTAGGGCAAGAAAGCAGCTAGCTCTGAGAGAGGGATGCCAGATTAAAGGAGGTACAACTTGGGCAAAAAAAATGGTGTTGGGTAAGGGAAGAAATGAGAAATATGGGTTTCTTTAGAAAAGCCTCATCACTTTCTGAGTTTTGATTGAATGAATTTTTCTGGCTGCATGATGAAGCCCATGGACTGTGAAAGGATGTAATTAGTTGCAGATTAATAATAACTTAATGTTCTTAGCCAAAGGACTTGGCAGTCTATCAGATTTTGAGAAGTCTCGCCAAGAACATCCTCTCTTGTATAACTTTAACATGTGGTCTTAAGGTACTTTTCTCGAAATATTGTTTTGAATAAAATCAAGCAGAAGCTGTTAAATTTGCTTATACAAAGATATTGGTTCTTGTAATATCTCTTCAATATGGAGAATTTAATCCTTGTGGGAGTACACAGACTTGAGATACTAGCTAGTGATTTCAGTTATTAATTCATTTCAAGGGTATTGGAGTTGAACTCAGTCGGAGAGAATGGAACGTGGTGGGGGAATAATCTTTACGGTACCTTTAAGTTTTAAAATAGTAGATTTGTGTTTGTCTCTCAGTTGTACTCCTTTATTATTTGTCAGCTTGATCCTAAGGTAGTGCCTTAGTTTCAGATTTTGAAGAAAAGAATCTGATTAAGCAGCCTAGAAGCCTTGTCAACCTCGAGATCAATAAGCTTTTATCCAAGGAAATATGTTTAAATGTCTTAGATTTGCACCTTTTCTCCGGTTATAGCCTTTCTCTGGGAAGATAGAATCACTAGTAATTGGGCAGCCACCTAAGAGGTGTCTGTTTATTAATAACGAGTTAATTTA